GCTGTCTTCCAAGAAATTTTTATTTACCAACACAGGCAGCAAGTAGATTTGGTCCATGGGCCACAGCATGCCAACACCTGCTTTAATACCAAGTTACCTTTATAAATTGTCCATCTATGTTTGAGAAGTGTAGTTTACAATTCCCAGAGTGCTGCAAATGGATTACAGGTGTGCTGAAGGTTAAACCCTTCAGACCTCAGGGTTCTGGACAGAACCGGGATTCAATTAGCCTCATGTGCTATACAAGTATTATCATTAATGCACGGGTCGGGAAATAAACGTGTTTGAGACACATTGCTCTAATTTGCTTGGTGCAGGCTTCTATATATTATGTGTCCAATAAATCAAACTTACAACTATATTGACCAGATTTTCTATTGCTTACTAATTTTTTGATTACTTAACCTCCCAATAATTAAAAATTACATCAAACTCTCCTACTTTGATGGTAGATTAGTTGATTTCTTTCAGCTGCTCTGTCAGTTTGTGCTTTACTTATTCGTAGGGCTTTTTAAAAGGTGCATAGAACAATTCTGTCCTCTTGGTGAAGGAATCATTTATCACTGCATAGAGAACATGTTCATCCCTAAGAAAACTTCTTCTGTCTAACTGTAATACAGCTATCACACCTAGGTATATGGTTAGTTCAACTAGGTATACCATTTGTATTTTATTTTTTCAATTAATAAACAGTTAAAGTGATTCTACAAATTCAAACACATCCGTAGATTCTTCTAACCGCCGCCATAATTGGAACACACAACAAATCCATCACTGCAGAATACTCCCTTGTGTTATTCCTTTGTAATTATAACCTCAACCCCATCCCTCTAATCTCTGGCAACCACTAATCTTTTCTTCGACTCTACAGTATAGTTATATGTTTGAGAGAGTATCATATAAACAGAATCATACTGTAGAACTGGCACTATTTCCTTCTGTTATGGGGTAGAATTTGCCATTGACACAATTTGGGTTAGGGAACTTTATTTTCAGAAGTATTTAACAAGAATCCAATTTCTTTAACAGTGGTAGCATTACTCAGGTTATGTACTTGAACGTGGGTGAGTTTTATTAGTTTGAGGTTTTTCAAAGAATTGGTCCATTTCACCTAAATTACTGAACACATGTGCAGTGAACATATGTGAATTATTCATAGTGTTTCCTTACTATCTTTTTAATGCCTGTTGGGTTTGTAGTGAAATTCCCTCTTTTCATTCCCGATATTGATCATCTGCAGCTCCTCTTTCTCTCCTTTTAGAAATTTCTACAGATTTTACTGACTTTTTCAAAGAATGGGCTTTTGAATTAATTGATTTTCTCTATTGGTCATCTGTTTTCTATTTCATTGATTTATGCTCTTATCTTTATTATTTCCTTCCTTCTAGTTTTCTTTACCCTTATTTGCTTGTTTAATTAATTCCTAATTTGAAACCTTTCTTCTATTATAAGTATTTACTGCTTTAATATCCCTTTCAGTATAGCTTTAGCTGCACCCCATACATTTTGTATCTTTCACTCCGCTCCAAATATTTTCTGATTTTCCCTGAGACTTCCTCTTTAACTAATGGATTATTTAGTAGTGTGTTATCTTACTTTCAAGTTTTTGGAGATTTTCCTATAATCTTTCCGTTGTTGATTTTTTTCTAGTTTACTTCCATTTTAATTAGAAATTATATTCTGTATAAATACAAATCTTTTAAATTTGTTAAGGTTTGTTTTATGACTCAGAATATTATCTATTTTTGTGAACATTCCATCTGCACCTGAAAAGAATGTGTACCTGCTGTTGTTGGGTAGAATGTTCTATAAAAGTTAATTGGATCCAGTCTGTTGACAGTCCTCATTTCTTCTATTTTCTTACTGATATTCTGTCTACTAGTTCTATTAATTACTGAGATACTTTGAAGCCACATCTACTTCTTTCAATGTTGTCAGTTCTCTTGTTAAGTAGATGTACATTTAGGAACATGTACTCTTGGATATAATGGTGATCTTTCTGTATCAACTTGGCTAGGCTATGATGCCCAGTTGTTCGGTCAAACACTAATCTAGACTTTAAAGGTAAATGGAGTTTGTAGATGGGATTAATATTTACAATCAGATGACTTTAAAAGAGATTATCCTTGATAATGTGAGTAGGTCTCATCTAATGAGATGAAGACCTTAAAGAGCAAGGACAGGTTTGCTAGAGAACAGGACTGTGTGACTCAGAGTCTATAACAAGGAAATCCTGCCCAACTTTCCAGCCTGTCAGCTTGCCCTATAAATTTCAGATTTGCCAACCCCACAATTACATGAGCCAATTCCTTAAGATCAACCTCTCTCTCTCTCCTCTCTTTCTCTCAATCTGCATGTGCATGTTTCTCTGGAGAATCCTGACTGATACATTGGAAAACTGACCCTTTTATCATCATATAATGTCCCTCTTTAACCCTGGTAATATTCTTTCCCCAAAGTCTCTATTATCTGACATTAAAATAAAAACTCCAGCTTTCTTTTCATTAATGTTTTTATGTTATACAGTTTTTATCCTTTTATTTTTAATCTACCTGCATAATTATACCAGTAGTATAATGAATTATACCAGAAGTATAATGGGTCATATTCTTAAACCAATTCTAACAATTTCTTCCCCTAAATGGTGCTTTTCTAGAATACTTACATTTAATGTAATTGCTGATTTGTTTAGATTTAGGTCTACCACTTTATTGGTTTATCGATTTATAAAAGTAAAATATTGTAATATTGTTTTCTTTGTCTTCTATTTTAATAAGTAAACTCATTATTTGTTTTTTAAAAATTGCAATACATATCATTCAACAAAAATTCAATTAAAAATTATTTGAAAAGGAGGACAAAGACTTTTAGAATGTCCATCTAGAAGAAACTTTACCTGGACCTGCAATTATCACAGCATTTTTCAGTTCTCATTATTCCCAAGGAGGCCTTTCGTAGTTGTTTGTCTTCAAAATGAGACAAGATGATTCTATCAAGAGAAAATTAAAAGTTAAATAAAAGAATAAAAACGTATACATTAAATTCATTGCTAAAAATAATGTGGTGAAATTATCATTAGTTGATTCACCTAGGACCTCATTATTTGGCTTCAGTTTACTGAGGCACAAAGAATGTT